TCGTTAATGACATGGAAGAAGGGGTGAACAGTCTGCTGATCAAATTCACAGACAACACTAAAACTGGAGCAGTGGCCACAACTGAGCAGCAGGTACTCCAGATCCAAAAGGATCTGGACAGACTATGGAAGTTGCCAGGAGACAACAGGATGGCGTTCAGTGTGGATAAGTGCAAGGTCTTGCACTTGGGGCATAGGAATAGCTCTCATAAGTACTGGTTAGGTGACAAGTGGCTGGAGAGCAGCACTTGTGAAAGGGACCTCGGGGTACTGGTTGACTGCAGGCTAAACATGAGTCAGCAGTGTGATGCTATGGTCAAGAGGGCGAACGCCACCCTTGGTTGCATAGCCAGAAGTGTGGCTTCTAGATCAAGAGAGGTGTTACTACCACTCTACATGACTTTAGTGCGCCCGCAACTGGAATATTGTGTTCAGTTTTGGGCTCCTCATTACAGAAAGGATATAGCCAGGTTAGAGTCAGTGCAGCGTAGGGCCACAAGGTTGGTGGCTGGTTTACAGGGGATGGGGTATGAGGCAAGACTGAGGAAACTGGGTCTCTTCAGCCTGGAGAAGAGGAGAATTAGAGGGGCTACGTTGGCGACATACAGGTATGTGAGGGGATGTCACATGGAGATGGGTAGAGACCTGTTCTCCCCTGCAGAGGAAGGCAGAACGCGCTCCAACGGAGCAAAGCTCAGGGAGCCAAGGTTTCATTTGGATGCCAGGAAGCACTTCCTGACAGTCAGGATCCCAAGGGTGTGGAATGGGCTTCCATGAGAGGTCGTTGAGGCCCCATCGGTGCGGGTGTTCAAGGATAGGCTGGACGTCCACATGGTGGGCATGTCATGAGCGGAGCCGGCTGGTGCCGGAGGTCAGACTAGATGGCCCGGGAAACCCCTTCTGACTCACTCTGTTTTCTATGTTTCTAGGTGCGAATACATATTAAATACTCATATTTTACAACACAGCAGGATGGTTTGAGAGGTAATATATCCTTCCTGTCTTCAGCCCTCCCTGATTTGCTTCCCTGCAAAGTTAAACCTGAAAATTGGGAGGAAATTATGCGGAGAATACCATGGAATGTGCAGAGAAAAAATGATCCATTTATGTTGTGAATGACGACTCTCTATGTAAACAACCCGCACGTTTGCGAGCAATAGAACTAAAGTCTTTTATTGCTACTTATCTACAAGAT